GGGCCTGAAGACTGAGCAGTTGTCTCATTTCTTCAAGCCAACATTTCTGCTTCCAGAGAAACCATATACTAGATTAAATGAAAAGTCATTCATACAATCCAGTGTCCTTGGACACAAAGAGGGCTGTGATATTCTGGTACCTGGGGAGTTCTTGTCTTTTAACGCTTAATAGTATTGTTTTTCTAATCAATGACCTTATAAGAGGAAAATTAGGAGTTAGAGAAACCTCTACCAAACCTTTTACCCCAGCAATCTCAGTGCTAGGCAGATACCCTAAGGAGGTCAAGGGCTGACGAGAAGCACCCACATATACAAAAATATTTAGAGAAGCACTTTTTGTAATAGCAAAGACCTAAAAGGAAATTGGGTGACTTGATTGGGGAATTGCCGAACAAACTGTAGAATATGGATGTGATGAAATATTATTGCAAACATAATGGATTTGGGGAAACCTGGGAAGTCTTGTATGCGTTAAAGCAGAGGGAAGTAAGTAAATCCAGGAGGACAATTTTTATTATTCTAATCATGTAACAGAAAATAACACTGAAAGACTGCAAAACTCTGACCAAAGCAGTGACCAACTGGAGCTTCAGAAGACTGAAGATGAAACATGTCTCTCAGTAGAAAGGCAGAGGGCAACAAATAGAGAATGAGATATACAATTTCAGACATGGCCAGTGGGTAGGTAATTGTTACAAGGGAGGGTGCTATTGGAGAATTGTGGGGAAATAACAATGATATAAAAAATAAAACAGCATCAATAAAACATTTTCTAAAAGGACAGTCAGGGGAGGAGGGAGAAAAAAGTCAATATCAAATTGTTTCAAATTTCAATATAAATTGAAAAGAGGGCCTGCCAAAACATGACTCTTGGCAAGTTGAGCTTAAAGATGTCAGTTGTCTTCTTATTGGCTGGATTCTTTGTTTGGTGTATAGCTGGGCTACTTCATTATAATTCTGTCTTCAATTCAATCCAATTCAATTCAACAAATATTTATTAAAGAGATACTGTGTATGAAACACTGTAGTTGGTGAACTGGGGAAAACGCAAAGTTTTCATAAGATACATATACACTTCTGCCCTTGTGGAGCTTAGAATCTAGTAAGCTTACAAAATAGTAACACAGTATTATCTAATAAAGACATCAGAGTTGTGAAACAAAGTGTCATTTGAGAGCTGAGAAGTAAACTTGTTCCCCATGAGGAATGGGAAATAGTGGGGGAAAGGAGGAATCAGAGAATATTCATGGAGGGGGTGGCATTTGAGATGGTCTTTAAAGAATAAATAGATATTGATCAGAGTAAGAGGGGGAAGGAGGACTAGGATTCAAAGGATCATAGTAGTTCAAACTAGAAGGGACGCTATAGAGATCATTGAGCCCAACCCCTTCCTTTTAGGCAGCTAGGTGGCACAGTGGAGGATAGAGCATTGGACCTGCAGTCAGAAAGATGTGAATTCAAATGCAATCTCAAACACTCACTGATATGTAAGCTGAGGCAAGTCACTTGACCTCAATCTGCCTCAGTTTCCTCATTTCTAAAATGGGAGTAATAATAACATTTGTCTCCAAGGCTTGTTCTGAGAATAAAATAAGATACTATTTGTAAAGTATTTTTGTAAACCTTCAAGCTATATATAAATAATAGATATTATTCTTCATTTTACAAATGAGAAAACTGAGACCCAAAGAGGTTAAGTGACTTTAAGTATTAAGACCTGGGTCCTCTGAATCAAAATCTAGTCCACTTACTACTGCTCCACACATTCAAATTCCCCTGAAGTTAACAGCTGGGTCCTATCATAATGAAAGTGTGAACAGAGACAGAGAAGTATGAGCATGTAGGGTTTGTCCGAGGAATCAGAGAGTAGGATTATTTGGGATGCAGGATAGAGTGCATGAATAACAATAAAATGAAATAAAATTGGGAAAATAGGGTGACAACCAGGTTAAGGAGGATGAACTTTACACAAGAGGCAACTGGGAGACACTGAAGATTTTTGAGTAAAGGAGCAATGTAATCAGATCTATGGACAAGAAAGATTATTTTGGCATCAGTATGAAGAAAGGAGGTAGGACAGAGGAAGTAGAAAAATCTGTCAGGGGGTCATTGCAACAGCCCAGAGAGGTAGTAATGAAAGCCAGGGTCATGGCATTATAATAGAAAAGAAGAGACAGATGTGAGAAAAGTTATAGAGGTAGCATCAATGTAGCTTGGTATCTCACTGGATAGGAGGGCCAGGGAGAAGAAAAAAAGTCAAAGGTAATAAATATTAAGGTAACAAATATGGGCAACTGGTTGAACAGTAAAATCGCAGACAGAAATAAACGGTGAAGTTAGAAAGAGGAGCAGGGGAAATATAATAAGCTCTACTGTGTCTGAAGTGTTCTTGTGACATTTAGGTGAAAATGTCCTGGGGACACTTGGAGATGCCCATGTGGAGCTAAGAAGAGGTCAGGCCTGGAAATATAGCTTTGGGAGCCATCTGTATGGAAGTGACAGGTAGGGGTGAATAAAACTGCCAAGGGAAAAAGTGCAGAGAAAAAAGAGAAGGCCAAAGGCAAATACTTGAGGAACATCAACATTAATGGGTTGGGATGAAGAGCCAATGGAAACAAAGGATTTCTAATAAAATAGGAGGAGAACCAGGAGAGAACGGCTTCTCTGAAGTAAATAGAAGAGAAAGGATCCAATAGGAAGGGGTGGTCAGCAGTACGTCAAAGGCTGGAAAGAAATCAAGTGGAATAAGATAGTAGGGCATAGGAGATAGAGTTCAAGACTCAGAGACATGAAGATCTGGGTTTGATTTCCTCTTCAGGCACTTATTATGGGCAAGTCCCTCAACTTTTCTGTGTCTCAGTTTTCTACTCTATAAAATGAGGGGGTGGAACTCAAAAACCTCTATGGTCCCTTCCATCTCTAAATCTACAAGATTCTGATCCCAAAAAGGCCATTGGACTTGGTGATTAGGAGGTCACTAATGACTTTTGAAGAAAGCTTGATGGGGATAGAAGTCATTACAAAAGGTTGAGAAGAGAGGGGGTATTAAGGAAAGGAGGCAACTTATTAAAGAAGTTTTACAGTGAATGGAAGGAGAGAGGTGAGACAGTAGCAGGATAGAAGGGTCAAAGGAAGTACTTTTTTTAAGACTGGGGACCACGTTTATTGGTAGAGCAGGAACTAAGGTCAAGAGAGATTGAAGATGCTTGAGAGAGAAAGGATGACTGACAGTCAGAGCAAGGTCTTGGAGGAGGCAGGAGGAACAGGATCACAGATATTAATCCTAGAGTAATATAGATGCCTTCTCTTCTGTGGTTAGAAGGAAGTTGAGGGAATGAGCAATGATGCTGAGAAGTCTTGAGCTTCCTAGTAGGGAGCTAAGACATTGCTCCTTGGAGGCTTTCAGACTTCTCAGCGAAGCAAGAGGCTAGATAATTGCTTTAAATACAGAGGATGAGGCAAGAGTGGAAAAAATGATATGTAATAATCACAACAGAGTATAAGATAGAGAATCAATGAGAATAGAATAAAAAGAATTTCAATAAGCAGAAGGAGAGTCCAGGCCAAGGATGTACATCATGAGATCTGCTAAATTTTGTGACTATCTCCAGGAAGATTCAGCACTGGAACAGAAGAAAAATGGCATGAGGAAAGTTATCCAGGAATAAGGAACAGTGGAAGGTCAGGGAAGCAAAAGATTCTAGGACAGTAGCTAGTAAAACATTAAAGTTGCAGATAGGCTGAACAAATTGTGGTACATTATCATGCTGAAATTGTGCCATAAGAAACGACAAGCAGGATGGTTTCAGAAAAACCTGGGAAGACTTATATGAATTGATGCAAAGTGAAGTGAACAGAACCAGGAGAACATTGTATACAGTAATGGCAATATTGTATGATGATCAATTATAAATGACTTAGCAATTCTTTGCAATACAACAATCCAAGACAATTCCAAAGAACTCATGATGAAAAATGCTATCCATATCCAAAGACAGAACTGATAAATTCTGAGTGCAAATTGAAATTTTTTTTTTACTTTCTTTTTCTTTTTTTTTGGTAGCATGGCCAATATGGAAATAGCTTTTGCATGATTTCACATATATAATTGATACCATATTGCTTGTCTTCTCAGTGGGTGGTGAAGGAACCAGAGAGAGGGAGAGAATTTGGAACTCAAAATTTTTTTAAAAGAATATTAAAAATAAATAATAATTTTTTTTAAAAAGCAGCAAATCATGGGGTCCAGGCTCGGAATGAAGCCAACTGAAGTCAGAACAGGGGAAATGGACTGGGAGACTAGGGATGATTCAAAGGAGCAGAAGTTACAACTAAGCTGAAGAATAGGCTTCATGAGCATGAAAAAGTGAAAGGGAAGGGTGGAAACCTGAGTCCACATGATGTGATTTCAAAGTTTCAGATCTTGAAGGTGGTGCAATTATGAGAGGGTGATGCCTAAGATTTGACTGTGGTCTTTTACGGCTAAAGGGAATGGATAAGTTCAATGGAATTGAGAAGACTGGAGATTCTCCCTCCTCAGGGCCCATTTCCATCAATAACAGTGAAACCACCATGTAATGAGGTCTCTGAAGTCCTTCAGGAATTAAACTCCTTTAGATGAGGGCTCAAGACATACTTACTTCTTATCTAATTCCACTCTAATATGAAGTTGACCATAGAGTGATAATACTTTTTAATTTGTGTCATTGTATAAAACAGGAAATTATTATGATAATTCAAATAAAAGTAGGTTCTTTATGCCGGAAATATCTGGATAATTGGTTTTATTACATGTACTTACAGACAGATTTATAGAGGGGGCTTTCCCTCATTTTTTTCACCATGTTCTAGATGGCAAAAGGGATTTTTAAAAACCCCCTTGAGGATAAAATTTGAAATGTTCAAGGAAAGATACAAAAGTAAAGGCTATTTAATTCCTTCTGCTTAGCAACAATGGGAAAGATTCAACACAGAAATAATTAACAAAGCCCTTTCCTTACCTCTTCATAATCTGCTACCAGGTAGAGCTCCACATACTTCATAGATTGTAAATCTTCCCTCCTGACCTAAGGGGGCAGATAATGGGTTAGTCTTGGTAGAACTTAGCATCATTTCAAAAGAAGTACTCAGCAATGGAGTCTGGGACCTTTGTGCTCACTGTAGTTGGGTATCTTACCATCTCCTCCTTCCCCTTGGTTACTGTTGGAGAACGCAGTCCGATATTGGCACAGATATGAATGAGACCACAAGATTTAGAGCTGGAAGAGGCCTTTGAGATCATTTAGTCAACCCACTTCATTTTACAAATGAAGGCACGGAAGTCCAGAGAGGTTGTCTTCTCTGAGGTCACCCAGGGTAGCAGAACACTGACTGGAAAGGCAGTGTTCTTGACACCAAACCATGGCTGCCCCCCCCCCCCATTTTAAGTGGAAGAGTGTTAAAGTAAATACAACTTAAACTTTTCCCCATCCTCAAATGCCCCATATTCAAAAATGATAGACAGACAGACAGAGAGTAGGAATTGACTTAATTTCTCTGATCAGATAAGACTATAAAGAACAGGAAAAGCATGAGCTATGAATGAACACCATTGTCACCAATACACCATGACTAAATAACTAGCACCAATGAGAAACCAACACCTTTGCCATATGGACTTCACACAAATGGAGTGAAAAGAGTGCTTAGTTCAAATCCTAGCTACTTAAATGTGTGACCTCAAACAGCCATCTAACTTCTCTAGGCCTCAAGTCCTAATCTTGGAAAATGAAGATATTTAACTCCTAAAGTTCCTTTTAGTTCTAAATCCATGGCTCTCTGTTCCTGCCTTTGGGAACTTTCCAACTAGGACCTCCCATGTCTGTCAGCTAGGGTTAACTTTCCCTAGAGGTCACTGTGCGATCACCCCAAAGATCTGAGGGCCACCTCAACATGCCTCTTCTGCTAAAAAAATATTCCCTGATTGTGTTCTCAAGGTCAGATTCAGAATTCTTGGGGGTACATAGGATCTTAAGAGATCATCTGTTCCAATTAGAAATGAAGGAACTGAGGCCCAGAGAGGTTAAGACCACAGGAACACCAAGCTGGTGGGATGAAGAGGGGTCCAGGAAACTCACTGCCCAAAAAGGACAATATCTGAAGTATGGAGGATGCAGGTGGTCATTTAGCCAATGCCTCCTTTTAGAATGTGTTCTTCCTGACTCCATGCCCACGTCCTAAATCTGGACCTTTGCTTCAAGCTCCTGTTTCTATCTCCTGCTCAGTCCCTTAGTTACCCTGTGAATTTTTTCCTGAATGTAGAATTTCTTGTTTACACTCTTGGTTCCCAACTTCTTTCCCTCAGGGCCCTCTAATTGCCACCCAATTGTTAGTACCTGTTGCCCCTAGCCATTCCCTGGTGGGAAAGGGGAAGAACATGGACATGTAAATTATTTTCTTCCAAGGGTTGCATCACAAGAAAAGGGCGGAATTCATACGACAGGTCTGGCAAGGCATACGAAGCCCACAGAGCCCAGCTATGAAGTGTGGAAAAGGTTGTGGATTCCTAGTGTGTCGCAATTGGATCCTAAGTGTTCAAAGTGCTGGATTAAGAGTCGTAAAAACCTGGACTCAAATCCTGCATTGGATACTTACTAGCTATGTGGGGAAGTCACTTAACTAACCTCTCTGAGCCTCAGCTTTCTCCATGAGGCCTCAAAGATTCATTTCCAGTTTTATGATCTTATGATTACTGCCACCGAAAGCACTTATCCCAATGATTATGTGCATAGCCCAACATTCCAAGCAAGGTAGACTTGGTCTCTCTGGGAATTTATAACCTAAGGCAGATGTTGCAATTTAAGGCAGGAAGTAAAAATGCCCACTTGCTTGTGAAAGGCTGTCTACTTATGCTTGGCCATCAACAAACACCTCAATCTTCCATTTGGTGAATAAAACATTCTTATCTATACAATAAATCAAGTTGGAATTTCAGAGAGGGAAAAGAGAAAGGACATCATAGGTATTCCCTCCTCTGTTTCCATTTCTTCACATTTTCTTTTCTAATTGGTATCTGGAAGACCACCTACACCAAGGTAAGGGTCCTAGGGCAGGCCAACGTACATTTCCATTCTAAAGAGCAATACCCCAGCAAGAGTCTAGCACTCCGGATTCCTCTGTGGCGAACTCACCCTGCGTTGATGCTTTCTGGTTTGGTTTGTGAACTGCAGAACCCAGTCCGTGGCATTGGGTTGGGAATGCTCATAACCGCAACTCCCAGCAGGCAACTTGAGATGCTCTGATCTGTAAATAAGATGCTGACCTTGCCCATCAGGAAGGGGTTCAATGAGATAACTAAGGTTGCTGCTCACCACAATCAGGCCTCTGTTGAAAGGAGAAGCCAACATAACCTTGGTCAAAGAGAAGTACACTCAGGATTGACATTATTAATACCCTATCATCAGTCCGTCCAAGAATCCAAAGAACCTCCCGAATGCCAAAGGAGCATATGACAACCTATGAAGATGAGTAAACTGAGGCATAGCTTGGATCACATCTTTGATATCATAAATAATTAGCATGGTTTGAGGAAAAGATACCACTGGATTAGCAAACAAGAGAGCTGGTTTCTGGTTCCAACCCTGCCATTAACACCTTGGATTTTGCTTAGCCTTTCTGTTCCTCAGTTTTCCCATCTGAAAAATGGGAATAATAATCCCATTATATAATAATCCCATATGATAATCCCTCCAAACTCACAGGACTGCTCTGAGAAGCAAATAAGAGACATGATACAAAAGTGCTTATCCAGATCAATACAGAACTCTTTTTACTCCACAGGAGACCTGCAGAGTAACTAGTGCTTTGGGAAGTCCCAACCCTCCCAGAAAGGATTGTCAGGCTTTTAGAGGTCAGTGGTGTTGAGCCAGCAGCTCTTCCCAGATCTTGTCCCAGGCTAATTTCATTCTGGTGCCAGGGAACCTAATCATTATTATAGGCTGGTAGCCAAGTCTGCCTCACCCAACTTGCTGTAGCAATAACTGCCTCTCCCCACAGCAAAAGCCCAGGGCTCTCTCTTTCCTAGCTAAAGGGCAAAAGCCAAGGTTATATCATTAACCCCATAGTGTTTTCTCAGGCTGGAGACCCAAAAAGCAGGAAAGAACAGAGGGAGGGGAACTGATCTGAGCATCCTGTTATCTGAGTAATCTTTCCAATCCTGCTCTCAAAATAGTGCTGGGGCAACAAATCATTTCTTACCAATTCCTGTACCTCAATTTCTCTTGGCTGCCTGGAAAATTGGAAATGCCGAACCACCCTACAAAGGCCTGAGCAAATAACTATTCATGCTTCTAGGGGATGTTGATATGGGGTGGAGAAAGGGGAGAGGAAAGGGGAAGGCATGGTGATCAATCCATGTCAGTAGAGTAACAGTATAGATTAGAATAGATAAACATTTACAACAGATCAGGAATCTCATCACACACTTTAGTGTGGAATGGAACTGAAAGAAGATCACACTTTAAGCCCTATCAGTCATTTATACCTTAATGAATTTACCAGAATCTTCTCAAAGAATAGATTTGGATAAGAGAACAGGATGGGGACATTATAGGGATAATGGTATTGGGTATATGGCAAATAGGGGAAAGAAGAGAAAATGGTGTATAAGGGGGATGCTGGAGGCCCTAAGACCAACTTACTACTGCACCTTCTGTCTGAGGGCCAGTCAGGGTCTGGAGTAAACACTTCTCCCCAAGATGGGGAAACAGGAAGGGAAGTAAAAGAGGTTGTTGTCGGTGGTGGTGTCGTTAGTGTTGTTGTTCAGTCATATCCAATTCTTATGTGATCCCGTGGACTCCTGTCCATTCGCCATTTCCTTTTCTAGTGTGTCCCCATTTTTTTTTAACAGATGAGGAACTAAGGCAAATAGGGGTTAAGTGACTTGCCCAAGGTCACGCAGCTAGCGAGTATCTGAGGCCACATTTGAACTCAGATCTTCCTGACTCCAGATGCAGTGCTCTGTCTACCATACCACTGAGATAGGCAGTAGTATCTACTGTTCCAAGACCCTCTCCTGGGTCCCAATATCCCAGGGAATTTACTGAGTCTGCATGATGGAGGTTGTTGAGTTCTCCATAGTACCTACCCACTCCCGGCTCCATAATGTAGTAGGACAGAAAGAACACCACATTTTGGGGAATCAGAAGATCTAAGCTTGAGTCCTGGCTATGACATTTATTAGGTGAATGACTCAGGCCACTTCACTTTGTCTCTCTGGGTCTCCATTTCCTCATCTGTAAAGTGAGGATAATAATATTTGAACCACTTGTTTCATAAGGCTATTGTGAGAAAAACATTATATACAGCAATGAAGTGTTATTAAGTTATTCAGACCTCAGCCTCAGTGACAAAATGGAGGTAGGAAACAACACTTATACTCTACCTCAGAGGTTCACTGTGAGGACAGCTCTTTGTAAAGCTAAAGATGCCACAGTAATGAGCATTATTATTTACACTATTGCCAACCGCATTGTAAAGTATGGGGCAGCTAGGTGGCACTGTGGATAGAGTGCCAGGGCTGGAGTCAGGAAGACTAATCTTCCTGAGTTCAAATCTAGCCTCAGACACTTACTAGCTGTGTGACCCTAGGCAAGTCACTTGACCCTGTTTGCCTTAGGTTCCTCATATATAAGATGTGCTGGATAAAGTAATGGCAAACCACTCCACTGGTTGCCAAGAAAACTCCAAATGGGGTCACAAAAAGTTGGACATGACTCAAATTACTGAATAACAATAAAAACAACTGTAATGTACTATTAGAAATTGGGACCTCTCATGATTATCATGACATACACCTTCTAGATCTTCTCTTCCACTGCTGTCTGGAGTTCCCTCCCAGCCACCCCTCTCCATCCCAACAGCTCCCCTCCCAGACATGCTTGTTATTACAGAAATATCAGGGATAGGACCAGGATTTGCCCTCTAACAGTGGCTTTGACCTTGAAAGAATTCCTCAGAATCTTCTTCCCAGAGCCCTTCCCTACTGCTAGTACCCATTCAGCTCAGCTACCCTTCCCCCTGAACACAGACCAGTTGTTTATTCTATTAGGAGATTCAGTTGATCTAATTTGCTCAATATTAGTGCTGGCAGACAGAGATGGGGAGAGGGAGAGAGAGAGAAGCCAGGCCTCTGGGCAGGCGGGAGACCTCGCACACCATCTTTCATCATTAAGTGTTCTCTGAAAATGAAATCCAACAGGATGAATCCAAATGGGGCCGTGGAAGCCATGTACATGGGAGCTGGCGAAGCTATTCACATTTAATCTCTGCATGGCTGAGGGCATCTTGCTGCAACTGATGTCCAGTCAGTCCTGCAGAGGGCTCTCTCAAGGGTCTTCACAGAGGGGTTATCATGAAGGACTGAATAAGTAACAAAACCAGGGTTAGTCCTAAGGGGAACAGGGTCTGAAACAAGATGCACTGGACATCCTTGACCTCATTCTTAGGTTATGAAGGTATTCCCATGTTAAATCAATATCAGAGGCAGTCTTCCAGGAGAACAGAAGTCACAGAAGGACAGTAGGCATCCTTGCATGTATATAGGGAAGTGGGGGAGGAAGAGTACCTTCCCCTTATCTTGGTGAATGAGGAAAGGTGCTTCTTATGGAACTGCATAAATATGAGACTGAATCTTTTTTTTTAAATACCAGTTGCAAAAGTCACTTTGCTGTTTTACCATCTTTACCCTGACTCACTCACTCTTTCAATCAATAAGATTTTATGAAACCCCCATTGTATGCTAGGCACTGTATGAGGCACTAAGGAGACAAAAACAAATATGAAACAATTCCTGTCCCTCTTCTTCAAGGAAGCTGCATCCTACTTATTAGCTCTGTGACCTTGGACAGATCATTCTATATGGTGAGCCACCAGGTACATCTATAAGCATATAGAGAATAAACACAAATTAAAAAGAAGGCGATTAAACATGTTACATTCTAACACAGGGAGAATGAGCATACTAGCAGTGGGAGGGGGGTCAAGAGAGGCTTCACTGGAAGGTGGTACTTGAACTGAGTTTTGAAGGAAGTAAGGGATTCCGTGAGAGATGTAGGTGAGGAGGGCGTCTATTTTAGACAAGGACAAGCAAAAGATATGGAAACAGAAGGTGATGGTACCGTACATAAGAAAAAGTGAGAAGGCCTCTACAGAAATAGGGACATTTTATAAAGGGTGGGTTGGGTTAGAGGGGGAATATTGTGGGTTCTCTTTTGGACATGCTGAGTTTGAGAAACCTCTGGGACACCTGATTTGAAATGTCCAGTAAGCAATTGATGATGTGGGACTGGGGAGCTCAGATAAAACTAGGGCTGGTTATATAGATCTGAGAGTTACCTGCATAGACATAATCATTAAACCCATGGGAGTTGATGAGGTTAAAGGGAAGGTGGGTATAGAGAGAAACAGAAGAGGAGGGGAGTGAAAGGGGAGGAGGTGGGAGAGGAGAGGAGAGGAGAGGGACCAGGACAAAATCTTTGGGCACATCCACAATTAGATGGTGTAATATGAATGAAAAGCCAAAAAAGAGGACTGAAAAAGAGTGCTAGGACAGATGAAATGAGAACCAGGGGAGAGTAGTGCTATGAAAAACCCAGAAAGGAGAAAGTATTTAGGAAGGGAAGGTGGTCAACATTGTCAAATGCATCAGAGAGGTCAGGAAGTAAGAGGACTGAGGGGGGAAAACCATCAGGTTTGGTAATAAAGAAATCATTCCTTAAAACAGTCGAAACTGACTGTTATAGAATTATAGTAACCAAGCTTAACCCCAAAGAAGGTATATGAAAAGATGCATCCGCCACTCCTTTGCAGAAATAGGGAACCATGAGTGTGGGATACTGCATACAATAGATTTTTTTTTTGATAAATTGTTTAGTTTTGCTGAGCTTTCTTTTTCTTGCTTTCTTTTTTCATGCTTTATTATAAAGAATGACTCCCTGGGAGATCAGGGAATAATACAGTGGGAAATATAAGTGATGTAAAAAAAAGATATGGAAAATTTTTTTACAAAAGGAAATTGTTGATACCCTTGGAGAGAGCAGTTTCAGTTTATTACGAGGGTGAAAGCCAAATTACAAAGGATTGAGTGAATAAAAGGAGTGGAAGGGAAGGTAGAAAGAATAGACAACCCTCTGTAGGGGTTTCAGAAAGGAAAGAGAGACATAGGATAACTTGAAGACATGGTAGGGTCTAACAAAGGGTTTTTTTTTTTAAATATGACAAGATTTGGGCATGATTGAAGAGAATCAGGAAAGAATCAGAGACAGAAAGAGGTTGAAGATTAGAGAGGGAAGTGTAATTGTGAAAAGCCAATCTGCTGGAGATCG